TCCACATAAACATTTTATTCGAAGATATAAGAGTTTCCAATATATGTCAAAAAAGAACAGAACAGTCCAAACAAAACACACAGGCCTGACATAAAACAAGTACAAGCACCTATAGGGCATGGATTCAAGGGATGTCAAAGGACCAGCACAGTATTTCTCATCCTTATTCACCACGCCATATTATCAACCTCTATTTCCACACCGGCAGATTCTACTGCAGCAGATAAATCTGGCAGTGAACTATTTATTCTCGTTTGTAGCTCCGTAATTCTACAGTGTGCCTGGCTATAAATCAAACTTTTAAAAACCTTAAGCTGACAAGTTTTAACTAACAGTCTGAAACGTATAAAGAGAGCGAATTAAGTCTTGTGAGCAGCAAAGTTAGTTTTGTACTCACTTGTATGATTGCTTTCTTCACTAGTTTTGAATGATACATGCAAAATGTTAATGTGTAAATTATCATTATTTGTAACTAAGACAATCAGCTCCTACTTAATGCCTATATAAACTCATAGGATTTCTGTGGACCACAACCGCTATGAGCTAATTAGGACGCATCTAAAAATTACGATCATCAAAGTTCAGACATGAAGCACCTACATGAAGCCTTATGAGCCAGTACAGCCTTTCTGCAGATAGAACACAAATGATGGCCAGTCTGAGTTTTCAGTATGACCTCTATTTATGATTACTGTTGATGAGGGATCTCAAAATAAGATTTCTACCAGATTGATCTTTTGATTTGGCATGAAAAACAACAGATTTTTACTAATTAGATCAAATAGGGAAAAGTCTCTGGACAGCAGCATGGTTTTTAACTATTTTGTATTCGATCCAATGTACTGGATCAGTCTACATCACTTACTTGGTCCTGTGTGTTTATGTCTCAGAGCTTTTAGTCTCAGTGTACTGATTTTTATTATTATTTTGTTTTATTTACCTGTAAAAGTTACTCAATTTCTTCCTGGGGAGCAAAGATTGGTTTAGGTTACAATTACATTTTTTAACAGATAATCAATAATCTATAACAAAATACATTTCTGAAGTAACGGATTAAAGAATTTGAATTGTACACATAAAAGCACGACTCCTGCTACTGATGTAAAATTTCAGCCAATAGCAGAAATTAAACTATCCTAAATGTAGATTACAGCGCTATTGCAGCTAGGATATTTAGCCACGTAACACAGTGCTAAGGCTATAACTAGGGATGGGTATTGAGAATAAGTATTATATTTGTACCGGTTCCTGACTGCTCAGTACCACAATATCATTAAGCTCCTTGACAAACAGTGCTGCTATCAGTATTTATGTAGCATTATATCATTCTACATAGCTGGTATTTTCAGATGGTTGGTGCTATATAGGATCAGCAGGAGTGGCGCTCTGCTTCGTGTGAAGAACACGTTCACATGCCTCTGACTATCTTGATCATTTTAACAGCTAAGTCCTATTCTGTGCTCTCTGGTCATGGCTGAAAGGGTAAGACACTGAAAAGTGTGGGCTCACATTACTAAATTTAATGATAATGCAGGTAAATGCAATATATTGTGACATCCGGGAGCTCTCCAAGAAACTTGGTGAAGTCAGGGGTCTGGTCTATGACTGAAGCTTTTTATTCCAACTCTACAAATCAGCACAAACAGCCAGGAAAATGGACAGCCTACTGTAGCCAGAGGCTAAAAACAAAAGCACCCACTGGCCTTTTTCCTTCTCCCAAACGCCACCACCCCACCTATATTCAAGCTCTTCAACCTAAAAGTCCCAGTGAAACAAAGGGAAAATTAAACATTTCTTTTCTTTTCTGACTGAACTACCCACACCACAGTGTGGCTACACCACAATATGTAAAGCAATAGTTTCTGTGTAAAGGGGCTAACACCAACCTCATGAAACATGTACGAATACGTTCTATAAATCTGAAGCAGAGCAGCATGTCTGCTTAAGCAAAGCAGCTGTGCACCTGAGTCCTCAGTGTAGCCTCCTGGTGTTGTGACAAATTGCACTTGTTGAAATGTCCTACTGTAGCGCACGTTCCTAGGTAGTTCTCTACATAAAATTTGAGGTAGAATATTTCAATAGCTTTAATCACTTTTCAAAAAATGCTACCAGAATTAAAACTATGAAGTAAACTTCCTATCCACCAGCTTCTTGGTCCTGTTCTGCCTGAAACGGTGCAGCAGTCACAGGCATTATAATAACTGCTGCACCATTTAAAGTGGAACAGGGAAATTCGAACAAGAAGGTGGCGGACAGGAAACCAACTTCAGCCGCGTGTTAACACTGCAGGTAGGGTAGTTTGATAGTCAAATTGTCTTTTTAGAAAATGTTCCCAGCATTAGAAGAACAACTAGAATATATATTTGATAGCCTAAATCAGCTTATCAAGGAGTGGTCAATTTGGCAGCTAGCATAGCATAAAGCACTAACTGCTAGGTAGCCTGAGCCTTTTCATTTTTAATATTTTCACATCTTTCCATGTCATGTCTTTGTTTTGAGTCAAATTATGGAAAGTGGTATTAATAAAATCGTTACTATCGGTTAATATTGGTATCAATAAGCAGTATCAGTATCAATACTATAACTGACTCTACAACCGTTTTAAATGTCATGTTGCATCTGTTGAGTGCAGCCTTAAGCTCTTCCCTACAAATGTGTCTGTAGTCCTATGACACAAAAACAGCAAGCTACTGACTATACTTTTGTGTAAACTTTAAGCTAGCCTCAGTCCAGCCATGTGTGTTCATTAACTCGGGCTAGTAATGTAATAAATGTAAGTAAATAGTCTACATTACATGTTACTATCATATCTGGTCACAAGAGGTTGCATTTTTTCCATTCAAAAAGCCTAAAGCCTAGTTTATTTAAAAACCAGTGCTGTGTCATGAGTTGCACCTGTGGTTTTAGGCTTGTCAGTTAACAATGAAAGACCGTTTAATAACAGCTGGGTTATCAGTCAAAAGAATTTGCCAAAACTTGCATCCCTAATTAGTCCATTAGTTTTATTAATATAAGCTTAAATATCATCAAATATTATGATACTGTGATATGTCGAAAACATTGTGATACTGAATTTCATAAATGCCGCTCAGCAATAAGTGCACTTTAAAAGTCTTCAAGATCTGTACGATATAAGGGCAAGTCTGAGTGGCTGAATTTACTAGAAGTCAGACAGGAAAAGATTAGCTGGGTGGTTCAGATATGCTGTGATTTAGTGGAATTAGAATTCTTGATTGTCTCAGGCCTCGTGCCCATTACATCTTGTTTACCAGTCTTAGGACACAAGATGAGATGTCTCATCTGACAACTCTTCAGACAAGTCATCATGCAACTCATCTGAGTGCTTTCCTCTCTAATCATGCAGTTAGGCCTTGCTGACCTTACAAACAAATGTTTGTGAAACAAGCCATATCCCAGACGTAATTAAGCACTACTGATAATGATAATAGACTGGTAATTCAGCAGAGGAGAGGATACTATGGCTTTTCAGTGACCTTGTCACCTCACGCCTCAAAAGCACATGCAAAGAAGTCAAGAGATCAGATCGGCTTCTAAAGTAACCAGACCTGACATGCTGCTCACAGAGCGAGAACCCAAAAGCAGACATCAAACATTTTTGAGCAAGAGAATCAGGAGCTTTTGCACAAAGCTCAATCAGGAGAGGCCCAACGCCTTCCGCCTGGCCGGAACCACCACCGTCAAAGGTCCTGTGAAGTGTGGCCTTTGACTTTGACCCCAGGGGATTTGAGGGAAGGGGTCAGGGATAACATAACATTACAATGAGTCTACATGGACTAGCTATACATGGATTAGCTGCACATACACCAGCTGTCTACTAAAATGGCAGTGCATATAGTTCAAGTTAAAAAAAAGTGTTAAATGTAGATTTACTCAATATTGTACATATATATATACACACACTATAATACAGCTGAAACACTTGTAGGTAAGTGTTTCAGCGGTATCTGCAGTAAGCCTTGCAGACACTGGCCTTTGTGGTGAATGCACTTGCTCCTGTAGGTCACTTTTTTCATTTACTTAGATGTCCATTACTCATTCAGGAACATTTTGCCAGCACCAAGCTCTACTTCAGGTACCTGACTTCTCTAATGACTTGATACCAAATACATCCAAGTAACAAACAGAACTTCAGCACAGGATGGCGCAGTTAAGTTACAAACTGTAGCATGATTAATTACAATTACAAATAATGAGTTTCACTAAGGAGCAGGGACATCCAGACCATTGTTAAATTTTGGCTGGAAATAAAGGGGTTAACATCTTAAAACACCCAACAAATACAATCCATTCAGGATTTTCCCCCTCTGTGATATCTAGGCAGATTCAGTCAAATGACCTTCCCGTTGTTTAGGACATCAGGAGCTGAACTGAAGGCTTAATATGTCAGAATAATCACTAACATAATTAGAAACTGAAAGGGACTGACAATGGATTTTCAGCCAGCCATGTTAGAAATTGAAAATAACATCAGCTCTATGCCAGAACTCTACTGAAAAAGTCACTTTAAAACTGTCTGCTACAAGCTTCAAGTAAAACACGTCTTCTACAAGCTTCGAATGTCCATCTGTAATCTAGAACAGCCAAAAAAAAAAAAATGTTAATGTGAATTGCCAGTAACTCAACATACTACTAGAACTGCATAGAAGCATCAGCAGAAATTAGCATTATCAAAAAAGTGAAAAGAATTTCCACTAAATTTTCAAAAAGTTCAGCAGCAGCAGCAGCAGCTCTGGCCTAAAGATTGAGATAACAAGAAGGCACATGACTTAAGAGCAGTAGTAAGAAAAGAAGTTTAAAAATAGATGGTGAGGTCACTGACTGAGCATGCTGAATCATAATGAACCAGACCCAAGCACTAATGAGATAATGTCTGCAAAGCAAGGGTTACTGCAGGCAGGTGCAAACTTTACTCTTCATTTCCAGGACAGTAATGCACTATTTACTTGTATAGTGTGTTTGTGTGTGTGCACATTTGTTACCTAAGGTGCAGGTCCTCTGAGTATTTGAGGCAAGCGTAGATGAACTCCTTGAGTTGAGAGTATACTTTGGGTACAAACTCAGAGAATGGAAGTTTCTTCGGAAAAGGTATCTTTTTAAAAAAAAAGTGTACAAATAACTTTGATTATTCATCAGGTACAATAACTAACATGTTTAACTAGACTTTAACAGGCAAAACACTGATAATGTCCATCAATGTTTTTGACTGACCTTTTCTAGCTCTGGGTCCTGGAAGGGGAATTGGCCTGCTATTTCGCCGGTACTCCTCCTCTGTTGCCACAGGGATTGGACTGTAATTGTCTTGATCAATGATTTGCCTAAAAAGTCATAATAACAAAAGGACATTTGAGTTCACTAAACCACAATGTCTCCAAACCACATGAGTGGATTAAATAGCTTAACTCTTGTATCTGTCACATTCAGGCAAACTAACACTCTTTAAGAGGCCCATGTGGTTATGCAATGCCTGATTTTTCATAATATTGTTCATTGTTTAAAATAATAAATACATATGATTAAATAAATACATAAATGAGTGCCTGAGGATGTGTGTGCCCGTGCATCTGAAATCTTTAGTAAGTCTGCTTGAATTCTTTCAGATTCCCAGAGCAGTAGAATTCCAGGGCAGTGAATTTCAAGGCCTCCAGCCTTTACGGAGCAAGCCAAGGGTCCCTGACAGGAATCAAACAGGAATCCTGACAAGGTCAATCCGACCTTCCGATCACATCCGCTCTCAAGACTGAGCCCAGCAAACCTTAACAGTGCCTCTCCAAGGGGCTCTAAAGTCTAGCTTCTTCACGATAGGTCGGCATTTCTGTGGTTTCCAAATAATTTTAACAGCATATAAACTGATTCCGGTACACCATGAAAAAACAAAAACACTTTTTAAGAGAATTATTCTCCTTCGAGGAGTATTATCACCTCTATCGTGCCGGTTAGTAATTTCAGATATCTTGGCTTGAAATTGTTTCCCTTTCCTTCACCTGTTGAAAAAACACCTAAGAACTTGCAACTCCCTGGGACAACAAATCTAAAAGATGTCTTCCTAAAATATAATTTTGGTAGGCAACACTAACAACTGAACTAAAACTAAACGGTCTTTGACATGTGCACTATATTTCTCTTGTTAAGCACTCAGTGTGGCTCACACAACGACTACAGGCCTGTTCACACCTAGCATTAAATGTGTGTTTCATGTCCAGTTCCTATCTGGATAAACTTTGGTCAGATTCCATTTACACTTTTCACCAAAATGTGTCCCCAGACGTGACCAGATGAGATCCTACTGTACTTTTCCTGCATAAAAAGCACATAAACACATACATCATTTCTGTTTTATTTTTGTTTTTTTCCCGCTACTATAAGAGTGGATAAGCTTGTCCTGGACACTTTCATTGGCCTGGAGTGTATGAAGGCTCTTAGGTAAAGGGTACCTTGCGCATCCTCCATCTTTCATCCTCTTGTTTATTCTCTCACCTGCTAGTCAGCGCTCAGTAGATGTATTTCTGCTGATATAATTGTATACAGATAACGAAAACACATTCCACATACACTTATGTTAAATGTGGTCAAGATCTGTCTCTGACCACTTCCAAATGTGGTTTGAGTGACCCATTTGTAATCCGATCACATCGCGTCCTGAGGGTGTTAACACCTGGCTTTTCATGCAGTTAAGTGAAATCAGAATGTGAGTGAATCACCAAAAACACATTAATGGAAGGTGTAAATAGGCCCTAAGGGTGAGAAATGGGACATAAGAGTTCAAAAGGGGGGGTGAGAGTCTTACCTGAAGGACTGGTTCCATTTCTTTAGAAGAATCTCTCCATATTGATCTCTCATTTCAAGCAGCATGTCAAAGAGCTGGTTCACTGGAAACCCATAACCCTGTACAGCAACAAAACAGCAGGAGGATGAAGTCAGTCAGTGGAAAACAATTAAACAGTCAAAATTTATACATATCACTAAAAAAATTTTTAGCAAAGCCCTGCAATTTCATCAGAGGTCTGAACACCAGCAAGTCTGGAAAGTCTCCACTACACCTACAGTTCTGTGCAAAAGTTTGGGCATCCCTGCTCAATTTACATGTTTTGTTCATTTTCTAAGTGAAATTATGTGAAACACATCCTCTACAAAATAACATACTTCTGCACATTTTAATGTGCAATTACTGTTTATTTGCTGAATTTAACATGTTGGTAAAAGCAAAACAGAAAAAGAGGCCTGGGCAAAAGTAATATAAAAAAGGCATATTTTTTTCCCAGTATTCTAAGCTCAGCAAAGAAATATAAATTGTGCAATAAAATTTGCAGAAAAATGCCACATTTATACGTACATAACGAAAATGCATTCTGCTTACACTTGTGTTAAATGTGGTCAAGGTCCATCTCTGACCACCTCTGAATGTAGTTTGAGTGATGCAACTGCAATCTGATCATAATGCATCCTGTTTTCAATACAACATTTGACCAGGGGTGTTCAAACTTTCAACTGCCACCATAATACACTAGGATCAGGAGTCTGACCTTGATACAGCAGCTTGTTCCATCCACTCCGAGATAAAGTGCCTGTAATTTTTATGTAACCTCTGCATCTTTCCTAACTGGAGTGTTAATACATTTTTATCTGGCAATGGATTCACCTGACCCAAGAGAGCACTTATGGAAGGAATGAGATGTACTTCTGGGAGGAATCCTAGACCATCAAAGACTAACCAACCCACCTGCAGTGTGTCTGCAAAAAGGACTATGAGGTTCTTCAGATCCAGAATTAGGTCAGGGTCAGTGCAGTAGGACTGTTAAGGGACAAAACAAAGCAGAGTGTTTTAAGAAGGACAGCGAGGAAGTCAACAACAGGAAATTTTAGGTAATGATCAGGATCTACTAGGATAATTACACTGAAATATAAATCAATTTTTAAAAAATATAAATAGAATTGTATATTTTGACACTTTTTAAATATCAGATACATATGTTACAGTAGTAGTAGCAGTAGTAGTAATATAATAATAATAACAATAATAATAACAATAATAATAACCAAATAATAATAACAAATAATAATAACAAATAATCATGATAAAATTTTTAGTTCAGCAAATTTTAGTTACAAAATCTCAAGTGTTATTTTTACAGTAATATAAGCAAAACTTTGGAAATACAATAGTCTAAATTGATTTTAATAATGAAATCACAAACAGACAAAGACCATTTAAGACCATTTGTGCCACATTAATAAACACTAATGCTGAAGGATAACTACTGAAACTATCAATAAACGGACCAATTACTCAAGACGGAATCCTGCCAAACGCTTTGCATGTGTAGTAACCACCTCCTAACCAGCTAACTAGATCTAGTACTCTAGTCAAATTCATTTTACAGTCTCTCTTTTTAGTCAAACTTAACTAAAACTAAAAAAACTAAAATGTTTAGCCTATTGTTTTGCTAATGGACAGCTGCTAAATGTTCTCAAAGGCATACATTTGCACCTAGTTAGCTAGCTAGCTAAACGTGTTTGGAGTTTAACATTGCTAATCAGAGTTATACTGGTTGATTATATTCTTTAGGAAGGCTAGTGTTTATAAAATCTAACCAGACAGCATTTAAACTGGCAGGAAAAGTAGTGAACCATTAAGCCATTATGACAAAGTGATAAGTTGTTACTTTTAAATAACATTATGACATTTTATGATACAGACATTGGCTGGATTCATTCAGAGCAGGTGTTATATGAAACCTTTAATCCATAGTACATTTGTGTTTGTAAGTAGGAGAGGGTTTTTTTTTTATTTTTGATTTAAACAAGTTATTTTTGAATATACAATTTTGTTTTGCAGAAAAACATCCATCCATCCGAGTAATTTGTAGTAGAAGTAGTTAAAGAGTAATTAAGGTGCAGTCTTCAAGAAGATAATTTTTTTGGGGGTTTGGTCTTGACCCACTGTTGCTTTTATTTGGCCTCAACGTTTACTTACTCTGTCTCAGTCTCATTTGGACTTAGCTTCGAGTCGACAAAAGTGGTCTCTAAAAGATCATGTCTGGTGTAGCAAATTCTACATAAATACATCAGACAGCATGCACATACATATACATACACACACACACGAACACACTCTCTATGGGGACAAAAATATTGGGACACCTACAGGAGCTTTTATGACATCCCATTCTAAATCCATAGGCATTAATATGGAGTTGGTCCCCTCTTTGCAGCTATAACAGCTTACACTCTTCTGGGAAGCTTTCTACAAGCTTTTGGAGAAAGAGAGTGTCTGTGGGAATTTTTGCCCATTCATCTAGAAGGCACTGATGTTGGACAAGAGGGTCTGGCTCTCAATCTCCGTTCTAGTTCATCCCAAAGGTGTTTGATGGGGTTAAGGTCAGGGCTCTGTGTGGGCCAGTCAAGTTTATCCACCCAAACTCATCCAACCATGCCTTTATGGACCTATGGGCTCTGGGGCACAGCCATGATGGAACAGAAAAGGGCCTTCCCCAAACAGTTCCCACAGAGTTGGAAGCACAGAACTGTCCAAAATGTCTTGGTATGCTGAAACAAAGATTAGCCCTTTACAGTTGGCACAATGCAGTCAGGCAGGTAACATTCTCCTGGCATTCGCCAAACACAAACTCGTCCAACCGACTGCGAGATAGAGTAGCATAATTTAACACTCCACAACATTGCGCTTATGTTAACGCCAGTGGAGGTTTAGAACTCTGCAGTTATTGAGTCAGCAGAGCGTTGGCGACTTTTATGCACTATAAGCCTCAGCACTCGGCAACCCCGCTCTGCAACTTTACGTGGTATGAAACTTCGTGACTGCGTTGCTGTAAATGTTTGTAAAGGCAGACTGCATGGCTAGGCGCTTGATTTTATACACCTGTGGCAATGGGACTGAATTAAACACCTTAATTCAATGATTGAGGTGTGTCCCAATACTTTTGTTCACATATATATATATATAGCTTTACAGATTCCCTTTACAGATGCACATACCCAGAGAACATGAAATATGATACATACTGAATTCAGTGGTACACAGGAAAAAGCTATAGAGACATACTGAGTGGGTACGTAGTGCTGCAATCGTCTTTGACAGGGCCAGTTCCCATAACTCCTCCACATAAGCTCTATTCACCAGACCCTGAGTCGTATGCAGGATGTGGTCCTCTACTACAAAGAAACTACAGAGCAAGAACAAAATAGATTGATGAAAGACACAAATAAAGGCACATTATTGGCAAGAGCATGTTATGTATGACAAGTTAAACTTTGTTAAAACTATGCCCAGGCAACCATATGGAGATACAGATCATACACATGAGCATGTGGCTGTCCAAGAAACTCTGGATTCTGGGTCCAGGGGGCAGCACATCCCCATTCCCCAAGTTATCCCCCTGTGGGAGCACCCGGGGAACGGCCCGTGCCACCAGGATGTTTGCGGAAGCCTCTGCTCCAGACGCCGACCTTCCCCATATTCCCATCCAGACGCTTGGAATAACACCCATCTGCCACTCCACATCCCAGAGTCCATAAATCCTGCAGCCTGGCAGCTTTTCCAAGAGCCCCAGGATGGAATATTGGGAAGGAGGGGTGCATTTGAAGGAGGGTAGGAGGTTTGGACTTTGAAAGTAGAAGAGTGAATGACTGTGGCATGACTATGAGTGGAATGCCACAACGCACTTGCCATTTTTAAGTGCTTTCTTTAGTCCCAGACATAATTACAAGCATTAAAAATCATTTTTATCACATTTAATGTTGTAAATCAAAGTTCAGCGAAACGCATGGTGAACTTACCCTACAATTTGATTGAAGTACCGCCTGTATCCCTCTAGTGTTTCATGCTGCAGTCCACACACACCAGACAGAGGAAATGAAAAGAAAGATAGCAGAAAAATTTAAATCTATTCTATATTCTATGCTATAATGCCTTTATATGAACATACAGTATACCTCATTGGAAATGTAGTCTCTTTGCTCTGTGATGAAGAATGCACTACCCATAATGGCTTTAGGACACAGGTAGTGGCACAGTTTGTAGAATTCTTCAAAATGGTCAGTACGGAAGGGCACAAACAGAAGCATAAATAGGGGGTCTGTTTCACATCATATTTTGTGTATAAACTACATATGGCACAACGCCACTTTCTCTTTTGTGATACCAACACTGAAACCTTCAGCTGATACTGATCCAATCCCAGTTCTGGTGACTCAATGCGTTCAAATTTCTGGGACTGGGAACCTCTGTCTTAAAATTAGCACATCACTTTCAAGGAGCATTTAAAAGTAGACCATGACGCTGAAACTACTCAAACACTCTACTACCCCACAAAAGGACATACACAGCTATTACCACCACACAATGTAAATATGTGCTATTTTAAGCTAGATTTGTCACAGGATCTGGATCAAATTCATTCTTTTTGTCCCCCTCTTTGTACCAAATTGTCAATTCAAACAAATTTAGATTCAAAATCATTTGAAATGGACTCACTGTTTTATGCAATCTAAACTCAAATGCAAATTTCATAATTATCTGCTATGACTGGACTCTGAAACAAACAGAAACATAAACTGAAGTGCTGTCAATGTAACATTCTTGGACTGCAATCCAGACTAGGATATATTGAAATGCCCCAAACCATTAAAGATTCCCTTTCATTTTGACAACAAATGGGTATGACTAGTGTCTGATGACGATGACGACTGATCAACTGGCCTATCTATACTCTGCCTATAAGTCCATTTGTTCTTAGCCAATGTTGTGAAGTTACCAAAACATTACAATTATTCAAATGTGACCAACACAGTGTCTGTTTAGTGTACTTAACACTGCGTTTCCAGTTTAAAATGCTATATTAACTGCACTACATTTTCATAGCTAATCAAAACTAGGCAAGCTGGAAATTATAAATTTGGTACCAAGCTAACACATCATATAAGACAAAAACTATATATGCTAACAGTGTTTGAAATTGTGCAATGTAAATGTTGATGGAGCTCAATACAACATTCCATTTGGTTGAATGAGATTTTTGCCAGTGTCCTGTACAAGCGTGTCCAACAAAAGAAAGCATTTGTGGGCGGAGCATGGAAAGGTCAATTTATACTGTTGTATTTCATGTCCTGTATATTTCCACAAACGCAATTAACACCATCTGCCTCTTGACTTACCTTAAAAACATTGCTGTTAGTGTGGGAGGTGCAGTGAGGATGTGGGGAAGAGTACAGAAAGCTGAACACAAACAGAGTGGCAGGGTGAATGCATACCATGTTAGAATGTGGCTGCAACACAAGTCGAGCTTGTTTCCTCCTCTGCTTCCTGTAGTAGTTCTCAAATGTATCCCGGGCACCCTGGGTAAAAAACATGATTCACTCAACATCAGAAATGGAGAAAAAGGAGCAAGAGAATGGCTTTTACTACAGTACCACAAACTGATATGGCAGGTGCTAATCATGCCGGATAGCTCCAGTCTAAAAGAGCAAGAAAAGACACTAAACAACAAAAAGAGTGAACAGCAGAAGGAGAAAAAGGACAGAGCAGTTGAACGATCTGATGGTTTTCTTTTGCTGGAATGATAGAGAGATAAGCCACAATGATTTCCACTTAAGAGTCACAATCAACTTCAAATAAGAACAAATCAGTTGGCCTTTCCTAATCACAAAGCACAAATTAGACTGTGATTACAACAGGGGTCTCACAGACCAAAAACAAAAAGGCTCATTCATTCAAGACTTGGAGAATTCAACCTTTCCAAAACTGCTTAAAACTGTCGTCCCCACCGCCCTCCATTCCAGCACAGTCCGTTATCTGAGCAAGACTCCAGGGCAAAGAACCCAGGTCCCAACTTTAAAAAAGAGCAGATACTAATAGGGAAGGGAATGAAAGAGGAAAAACAAAGAAAGCAGTGCTCATGTGATGGGGTTATCATCTTCTCCTGGTCAGTTCCTCTGAAGTATGAGCTAATCATTTAGCAAGACCAGGACCCGCACTCCCTCTCTGAGCACAGATAACACATCAAGAGTGGCAAGAAAAGTACACAGTGGTAGGCCTCAGATGTCCACCTAGTGGACTGCAGTGTTGTGTTCAAAATACTGATATGGCAACATATTGTGAATAAACTCTTGGTGATATGCAAATCGATACAGTTATGTATCGAAGAGACCAACTGAAGAAAGATCTGCACAACCTCTAAGACTCAAATACTGATATTCACTTCACTGATAATTAATCAAGAGATCAAAGTACATGGCTGGCTATCCTACTGATCCAGCTGACAACGTGATGCAAACAGGGCAAAGAATAAAAAGCTCTCATAAAAGCTAAGAGAAGAAATTATTTCATTGCACAAAAAGAGAAAAGGCTATAAGTAGATATCACAGATACAAAGTTCAAAGAGACACAGTTAAAAGAATCATACATAAGTTTAAAACTCATAGCACAGCAGCAAACCAACCTGGGCATGGAAGAAAGAGCAACATTTCAAGAGAAATCAGACATTTGAACAGAACAGCTAACAAAGACCCTCACATTACAGCCAAAGACATGCAGTATGACCTGATAAACACAGGAACCTAAGTACCGGTGAACATGATAAGAATAACACTACACAAGCAAAGACTTCATGCCCAAACACTTCATCGCACGCAAGCAGGAATTTGGACAGGCCTGTGGCATTCTGGGAGACAATTTTATGTAGCAATGAAACCAAGTTAGAACCCATGGATCAACTGTATGTCTGGCGTAAGAAAAGCAAGGCTAGTGACAAAAAGAACACTATCCCCAGGGTCAAGCATGGAGGTGGGTCAGTCCTGTTGTGGGGGTGTTCTGCTGCTGCAAGAACTGTCAATCTCTGACTGTTGACCAGCAACAGAAATTCTTTAAAATATGATTCCTTCAGTGCATAAATTGAAGCAACTGAAACAACTTTCCAGCAAGACAATGGGCCTTATTCACCAACTGTTCTTAAGAAGAAATTTATCTTAAAACCCACTTACACAGCTTTCATGAAGATTCTGACATCCGTCAGTGTTTTCTTACTTGGGATTTGTTCTTAGGTAAGAACAGAATCTACACACAGTCAAGAGCACAAAGGTGGAATGTCCTTGACGGGCCATCCCAGTCCTGGATTTAAATCCCACTAAAACCTTGGGTGGGACTTAAAGACAGCTGAAGTGTTACGGAAACCAAGGAACATTGAGCTGGAAGCTTTTGCATATGAGGAATGGGCAAAGATTCCAATAGAGAAACGTCAGAAACTTGTGAGCACGTACCAGAAACATTTAATGGAGGTTATGAAGTGTAAAGGCTGCACCATAAAATACTGACTTTGGGGGCTGAATAATTTTGCACACTGACAGTTTTGGAGAAAATGATTTTTCTTTTGAACTGTTAGACATAAACTCAACTTCATGCTCTCAAAATCGCTTGAACGGGTAATAAACCTACTTTGAGTGTTTATTAATGCCTTGGATGATAAGTTTTCATTAAACTTTATTTATATTACCAAACTGCCTTGAACTTTGAGGTGGTTGAATAATTCAGTGCAACTGTACTAGTCTAGCATGGTGCACTAAAATAATGTGAAGAAATAACAGGGACAATGAAGGAAAGGCAGAACCGGTATTTTCCATGAGGTCTGTCTTTCTGAACCTAAAGGGTTCAAGGTTTATTGTTTAGTAATTCTGCAGTATTGTGACATGGACGTTTGACTGACAAAAGTGAGAGACACAAGAACAGCTTGGGGCAAATGAAATGTACATTATACAAAAGCAACAATCAGAACAATTTCTGTTGAAAAACTTCTGTGAACACTGCGTACAGAGCACACTGTAAAAACTCACACAAACAATGCATGAGCAGGTCCCTGAGAGAGATGCTAGAGGTTAAAAGATACATGCTTGGGCCTGATCCTGTCCATAGGGACGTGCACATTCTTACTTTACGTGGACCTCCTCTGCCAGACTCCTCCAATTCCTGGCAAATACAGAGGTCTGTTTCCTCCCTGATACAAATGTATGCACACACACTCAGAGGTACTATAGTGTAATGGGTCATCACTGGGTGAAAAGAGCCTGATATGGCAAAACAAGTGTGACCCTCATCCTCCTCAGAGTCACGTAAGAAGAGATATGCTAGCTAGGGCAATATAATACCAACAACAGTAATTATTATTATTGTTATTATTATATACATTTGCATAATATAATTAGTAACATTTAACTAGTAAACAAAACATCTTCTGATTGGCCACAGCTTATTCCAAAAAAGTGTGATCTAGGGCTGCAACAACTAATCAACATGAACAATAACACCTTAAAATGTGAAAAAGACGGCAGTACAGGGTTGTGCACAATCTAGAAAATCAAAACTATGAAAACACTATTTCAAAGTTACCTAAAAAGACGGTTTCCTGTATATGTAGAACAGTTCAGCGGGCAGCATGTCTGTCAGGCTTTGCAGTCAGCATTCACAGCAGAAACTCGGCATGGTATCTTATTAAAACCACAGTCAAAAGTAAAACGTAGCACATCACTGTCTGCTTTTCAGCTAATTGTGTTTTAGTTTAGCAGATAGAAAGTGCTGTACACAGAACAGGTCAGATTTTTTGTAGGTTTTGTTCTCTGGGTTGTAGCCTCCCATCCACACAAAAACATAGCTTTAGGTCACAGAGACCTCATGTGTACATACATACACACACATACACACACTTTTTATATATATATA